AGCTCCAGAAGAAGAGAAAAGGGGGCAGAGAACATATTTGAATAAACAAGGTCTGAAAACTTTTCCTAACCTGGGAAAGGAAACAGACACCCAGTTACAGGAAGCCCAGCAAGCTCCAAAGCAGACTGAAAACTAGCAAGGAGACTTACTAAATCAGTAAATTTTAAAACTTCCTACAAACAAAAATCCAGGACCACCAATAGCATAGAAATACAAAATATCATACAAGGATACTATGAACAACTACATAGAAACAAAATGGAATAACCTAGATGAAATGGACAATTGTCTGGAAATATACAGTCCATCAAGACTGAATCAAGAAACTGACCACTTGAACAAACTTATCACTAGAAATGAAATTGAATTGGCAATAAAAAAGCCTCCCTACAAATAAAAATCATAGAGCAGATGGCTTCACTGGGGAATTGTACTGAACATACAAAGAAGAACTCGTACCAGTCCTTCTCAAAATCTTCCAGAAGACTGAAAAAGAGGGAGTACTCCCAAACTCGTTCTATGAAGCCACCATCACCCTGACACCAAAACCAGGCAAAGACACTACCAAGAAAGAGAATTATAGGCCAGTATCACTGATTAAAATAGATGCAAAAATCCTCAACAAAATATTAGCAAACATTATTCAGCAGTGCATAAAAAAGTTCACAAACCATGATCAAGTTGGACTCATCCCAGGAACACAGGGATGGTTCAACATAAGCAAATCAATCAATATATTACAGCACATCAACAAGAGAAAGGACAAAAAACACATGATCCTCTCAATAGATGCAGGATAAGCATTTGATAAAATTCAACACCCATTTATGATAAAAACTCTCACCACAGTGGATATAGAGGGAACATATATCAACATAATAAAAACTATTTATGACAAACCTATAGCCAGCTTAGTACTCAATGGTGAAAAGCTAAAAACTTTCCCACTAAAATCTGGGATCATCAAGGTTGCCCACTCTCACCACTCCTATTCAACATAGTCTTGAAAGTCCTAT